ATATAGGTGCTGGGAATTGAACCCAAGTCCTCTGCAAGAGCAGTCAGTGCTCTTAATTGCTGAGCCACCTCTCCAGCCCCGTGTTTATTATTATTACTGTGTGTGTGTGTGTGTGTGTGTGTGTGCGTGTGTGTGATCGTGCACGCCATAGTATTCCTGTGGTGGTCAGAAGACAACTTGTGGGAATTAGTTCTCTCCTTCCACATTGGTTCTAGGGATTGAACTCAGGTCATCAGGACTGGTGGCAAACACTTTCACTTGCTGAGTCATCTTGCTGGTCCTAGGTCTTCTTTTAAAAGAGTGTTAGGTACTAGGGAGATGGCTCAGCTCAAAAAGTGCTTACAGAGAGAGCTTAGGGACCTGAGTTCAGATCCCCATGTCCCACATAAAAAGCAAGGTACAGACGGGCGTGGTGGCGCACGCCTTTAATCCCAGCACTTGAGAGGCAGAGGCAGGTAGATTTCTGTGAGTTCAAGGCCAGCCTGGTCCACATAGGAGTTCCAGGACAGCTGGGGCTACAGGGAGACCCTGTCTCAAAAGGACCAAAAAAAAAAAAAAAAAAAAAAAAGCAAGGTACAGTGGCACAGCTGTAATCCCAGTGTTGGGGAGGCACAGACAGGAGGGCCCTGGAGCGTACTCCAGGCTCAGTGAGAGACCTTGCCTCAAAAGACAAGCTTTGGAGCAATCAAGGAAAACCCCTGACCTATGGCCTCCACATACATGCACACACGCATTCACATATGCACACGCGTGCACACACACTGACATATACATTTCCCCCAACAAAACCAGTCACATAATTTGCCCATTATGAAGAACCCAATGGTTTTTATTATTAATTTAAAAAGATTTTAAATTAATGTTTATTTTTAAATTTCATGTGTATGAGTGTTTTGCCTGCATATATGTAAGTGCATCTGTGTCATGCAATGCCTGTAGAAGTCAGAAGAGAGCATTGGATCTCCTTGAACTGGAGTTATGGATGGTTGTTAGCTGCCATGTGGGTGCTGGGAACTGAACCTGGGTCCTCTTTAAGAACAGCCAATGCTCTTAACTGCCGAGTCATCTCTCCAGCACCAGATTTAATTAGTTAATTTTTATTTTTTTTTAGACAGGGTCTCCCTATAGTCCCAGCTGCCCTGGAACTTGCTATGTAGACCAGGATGACCTTGATGTCATGGTGATCTACCTCCCTTTGCCTCCGGAATGCTGGAATTAAAGGTGTGTACCACCATGCCCAGCATCCAGATTTATTTTCTATTTTATTTTTTGGTCTTTTTGAGACAGGGTCTCCCTGTAGCCCCAGCTGGCTTGGCACTCGCTATGTAGACCAAGCTGGCTTCAGTCTCACAGAGATCCACCTGCCTCTGCCTCCCAAGTGCTGGGACTAAAGGCATGTGCCACCATGCATGATTTTAGATTTATTTTTTCTAGTGTGTTTTGCCTGCATATATGTAAGTGCACCATGTGTGTGCAGTGCCTGTAGAGGCCAGAAGAGGGCATTGGATCCCCCAGAACTGGAATTATGGAAGGTTGTTAGCTGCCATGTGGGTGCTGGGAACCAAACCCAGGTCCTCTGCAAGAGCAGCCAGTGCTCCTAACTGCTGAGCCATCTCTCTAGACTGTTTTTTTCTTTTGAGATAGGGTTTGACTAAGCTGCCCAGGCTGGCCATGAATTCACTCTATTCCAGGCCAAGCAGTCCTTAACTCATGATCTTCTTGTCTTAGCCTCCCATGGAGCTGGGATGACAGGCCTGCACTGCCAGGTCCCACTTGAGCGGGCCTATGGCAGGTTTTTAATTTTCAGTCTGTTTCCAGGTGTGAAGTACAGCCACATGCTCAACAAATACTTGGTGAAGTAATGAAAGAACGAATACTTGGCCCCTAATCTTTTACCCTGTCAGCGTTACCCTCTAAGCATTTCTTGACTCTTGTGCATTTGTGTCCCTGGCCACCTCGAAGCCATAGTCCAGGGTCCGCAGAATGAACGATGGAGTTGGGGAATAGATTAATGAAGCAGGGCAGGCCTGCTTGCTCGTTTCTGTTAGAGAAGATTTGCGGTACAGTTGGGTTTCAGTTCTGCTCCCAACCTGTGCCGTTCATGCAAGGCTCCCGAGCGCCCTCCTCTGGTCACAAGTAGAATTGCAGTTGCTTAGCCCTTACAGCACATTGTACGAGGTGACTTGCTTTTTGGAGTTAGGGATGGTTGTTAGCTGTCATGTGGGTCTTGGGAACTGAACCCAGGTCCTTTGCAAGCGCAGTCAGTGAAGCGAACAGCGAAACAGCCCTTGAGAACAGCTAGAATCAAACCATTTCCAACAGAGGTTACTACATTCCATAATATAAAAGTGTCAGTGGTGGAAAAGAGGGGTCAGAAGCTCAGCCCTGGGAAGCTTGGCCATGGAGAGGAAGCTCCATCGGGAATACCAGCTGATGCCTCAACTTCCCCAGGTGGCTTCTGCTGGATGTTGCGAGCACCAGATTTGATGGTGTCTTAACCACCTCCTACTATTTATTCTTTTACTTTGGCTCACTATATCCGTAATAAACTAATTCAAAACAGGAAATATAGCTATTAGAACACTTTCTGAACCCAACAAAACACTTGGAAGGGGTAGTCGTTAGGCACAGAGAACTTAATCTGAAAAATACTGCAGCCTTCGAGGTGGGCTGTTTAGAAAGAACTGGGTATAATGGGATCCCCCAAACAGTAGCTTAAGCAAGAGAATCTTTCTCAGGTAACAGATGATCTAACCTGGCATGGGGACTCACCTAGAACATTCCCAGATGCCAACTCTCCCTTGACTCTGCTTCTATTCAGAACACTGCCCTCAGCCACGTGGTCCAACATGGCTCCCACCACCACATCCTTTCCAGAGCCCAGGGGATCCATGAACCTCTCAGAAGTGGAAGACCCTCTGTGAAGGGCATGACCTGTGAGCCGCTTATATAGCATTTGCCCACACCTGACTGGCTTTGAAGTTAGTCACATGACCCTATCTAGTTGCAAGAGAATCTGGGAAATGTAGTTTTATGCTGAAGAGACTGCGTCTTCTTAGCTGAGGTCAGGCCATGCTGCGTTTTTCTGCAGCAACAATAGACTCCGTCTTCCACAGCTTGATTCATCAAAGGTTTATTTTTTGCTCTTGTGTCACATGTTGACAAGTGGTGGCTTTTTAAGACTCACACCTCGAATTGCTCCTGCTTCCAACATTTCCTTTTCTTTATATATTTTATTTAGTATTTTTATTTTTTTATGTGTATGAGTGTATTGCCTGCATGTATGTGAGTGCACCCGTGTTGTGCAATGCCGTGGAGGTCAGAAGAGGGTGTCAGATTCCCCTGGAACTGGAGTTAAGGACTGTTCATAGCTGCCACGTGGGTGCTGGGAATCGAACCTGGGTCCTCTGCTCTGCAAGAGCAGTCAGTGCTCTTAACTGCTGAGCCATTTCTCCAACCCCCCAATATTTCCTTTTTTTAAAAAAAATTATTTATTATTTTTAAATTTTATGTGTATGAGTGTCTTGCCTGCATGTATGTACATGCACCACAGGCAGGCAATGCCTCACAGAGGTCAGAAAAGGGCGACGGATCCCCTGGAACTGGAGTTACAGATGGTTGTTAGCTGCCATGTGGATGCTGGGAATGGAGTCCGGGTCCTCTGCAAGAGCAGATAGTGCTCTTAAGCGCTGAACCATCCATCTCTCCAGTCCCTTCTTCCCACAGTTGGTTGATTAAAGCCAGTCACGTGTTGCCATCTCATTGAGGCCTGAGAAAATGTAATTCCACCTGTGGCCAGACGAGGGCGCCGGAGAGCACCGGTCCTACACTACAGCAATCCGGAAGCCACAACTGCTTTAGAAGAATCACCCTTTCAGGCCTGCCCTGCTTCGTGTATCCATTCACCGACTCCTCTGGCCCCGAGCCCTGTGGCCACAGGGTTGACCTGGTGGCCATCTTGGCCAGGCGCTGGGTGTGTGAGATCCTGGATTGGGGAAGTCCCTCCCAGGGCTTATTCGCATCCTACCGTTCTGCAGGAGCTGTAACTTCCCCTACCTGGGCTTCTTCCTCATCCTCACTTCCTGTTTGCCAGAACAAATTGCTACAGAATGAGTGACTTGAAACAATTCCAATTTATTATCTTACAGTTGCGGACGTCAGGAGTCCAAAATGGGCGTCACTGGTCTGTGGTCTAGGTGACCACACCTGCTTTTTCTGGAGGCTTTAGGGGAGCCCAGTGTCTTGCTGTTTCAAGCTTCTAGAGGCTTCCAGTTGCTGCCTCAGGGCTTGTCATTCCAATATTCCCAGTGGCCAATGTTAGCCTCTTTTCTGTGTTATCCCTTCCTCCCATCCTGGTGGTACTGAGGATTGTACCCAGGCTTCTCACAGGCTGTCTATGGACTAGCCATGCCAGCAGCCAGCACCCATCACTGGTGAATTTTAGGCAAAGGCTTTGCTACTGAGCTGCAGTTCCAGCTTCTAAGTAGCTGATTCAGAGGACAAGCCAGGTATCCAGTAGCTGATGTAACTTTCCAGAACTGTCTTATCAGCCATGGGCCTTGCTCTGGAGGTCTGCAGAGTTGGAGATGCCTCCTCCCCAAAGAAGGGGCTCTTGGATAATTGGTTGAGTGTGGGGGGGATTTTGAAGTGGGTGCCATTGAGGCAGACCTGAGGCCAGCTTCCTATCCCCCAGAAACCCAGGTGGGGGACTCTAGCCTGGGGGAAGCAGGAGTCTGCTTTCCCAGGCAGGTGACCGGCAGGGCTGAGAGATGCACAGACTATAGGGTGGTCAGACACTGGGGAGAGGGGCCTGTCAGTTTCCCATCCCATGGGACACCTGCCCATGTAATGCTGAGTCTGTGGTTGAGCCCACATTGCCAGTTCCCAGCAGCCTTGTTTTGAGTCTCACGTGTGTCTTTTCTGTGGGTATGAGGCCCTGGGGTTGGGGGAAGGAGACGTTTCATCTTCTCCTGAGTTGGTCTGGCCTGGCCTGGGGTTCTTCAGGAAGTTGGCACAAGCTGGCAGTATGGAGCAGGGTCAGGGTTTAGTAGGTCCTGAGGAGGAGGGAAGAGAGGAATGGTGAGGGGTTGAGAAAGATGGAGGCGGGGAAGACAGGGGGACCAGGTAGAGCCTCAGGAATGGACAGAGAATGGGATGGGGAGACAGAAATGGAGGTGAGCTCCAGAGACAGGGATGCTGGGGGTAGGAGAGTGGACACAAAGAGTCGCAGGCTGGGCAGGGACAGACAGAGAAAGGGAGAGAATGAGAGAGAGACAGAGCTGGAGACAATCAAGATGTGTTGGGGGGAGAGGAGAAGGGGACTGGGAGGGGTGGAGAGGGAGAGTGGGGGAGAGAGGAGGAGGAGATGGAGGATGAGGTGGTGGAGGAGACGGAGGAGGAGGAGCAGATGGAGGAGATGGAGGAGGAGATGGAGGAGGAGGAGATGGAAGAGGAGCAGATGGAGGAGGAGGAGATGGAGGAGATGGAGGAGGAGGAGATGGAGGAGATGGAGGAGGAGGAGGAGATGGAGATGGAGAAGGAGATGAAGGAGGAGGGGGAGGGGGATGGGGAGGGGGAGGTGTGACCTGAATAGGTGAATGAGGAAGGGAGGGAGACCAGGGGAAGAGCAACAGAGACACAGGGTTATAGACAGACTCTGAGGACACAGAGCTTCAGGGGCATCCAGGAGGCATCAAGAGGGACTTGAGACCCTATTCAGAGATAGGTCTCTGCATGCAGTGGGGTTCCATTGAGACCTGACCTGCTGTGTGACCATGGGCAATCCCCCTTTCCTTTCTGGGCCTTGTTCTCCCTGTGCAAATCTGAAGCCTTGGATCTTTTCTTCAGAGGAGAAAGCTGCAGGCCCAGGAAGGGCGTTGTTCAGGGAGTCTCAAGGAAGTTGTAACAGGTTTCCTTGGGGTGCTGGATTTGGTGGGGGTGCAATGGGGAGAGGACATAGCCTCCCACCTTTGGCGATCTGACACCTCCCTACTCCTGGCTGTTGGGGGTCCCTGCTTCCCCTGTGTGTCCATACCTGGTAGTGCTGGTTCTCAGGCTCTGGCTGCTGGGGTGCAGATGGAGGCTCAGTCTGTAAGGGAAAGACACAGGTGATGGAGTTGCCCCACACCCTCTGACCGTTGACCCTGGTGTGATGACATGACTGGATTTGAAGTCTCTATTGCCCCTCTGATTGGGAGGCTCCTGAGCAGAGGATGTTTACCCCATGTGGGTCAAAACACACTTTGGACAATGGCCCTGATAGTGATGGCTGTTTGGGGTGCTCAGTGCCCGTCAACCATCGCATTAGCACCTAGCTTCTCCCCAACACTGGTGTCTAAGCAATTAACCTTTTTGTTTCTCTCTATCTCTGTCTTTTTAAAAAAATTTACTATTGGGGGAAGTACATGTCACCATGTGTGTGTGGAAGTCTGAGGACAACTTTGTGGAACTGGTTGTCTCCTTCCACCTTTACCTAAGTGCCATATATCAAACTCAGGTCCCCAGGCTTTCAGGGCAAACTCCTTCATGTGCTGAGCCATCATGCTGGCCCTCTTTCTTTCTTTCTTTCTTTCTTTCTTTCTTTCTTTCTTTCTTTCTTTCTTTCTTTCTTTCTTTCTTTCTTTCTTTCTCTTTTTTTTATTTATTATTTTTTATTTTATGTGTATGTGTGTATTGCCTGCATGTACGTAAATGCACCCATGTCATGCAATGCCCATGGAAGTCAGAAGAGGCTGTCGGACCCCCTGGGACTGGAGTTACGGACAGTTGTTAGCTGCCATGTGGGTGTTGGGATTCAAACCTGGGTCTTCTGCAAGAACAACCAGTGTTCTTAACTGCTGAGCCATCTCTCCAGCCCCTGCCCTCTTTCTTTAAAAAAAAAAAAGGATGTATTTATTTTTATTTTATGTGTATGAATGTTTTGTCTGCATGTATGTGAGTGCAACACATGTGTGCAATGTCCATGGAGGCCTGAAGAAAGTTTTAGAATCCTTGGAACTGGAGTTACAGACAGTTGTTAGCCGCCGTGTGAGTGCTGGGAACCAAACCTGGATCCTCTGTAAGAGCAGTTAATGCTCTTAACTGAGTCATCTCTTTAGCCCCAAGATTCATTTTTATTTGTATTTACATCTCTGTGTGTATATGCACATGTGTGAGTGAAGGTGCCCTTGGAGGCCAGAAGAGGGTGCTGGATCCCCTGGAGCTGAAGTTCTAGGCACTTGTGAGCCATCCAATATGGGTACTGGGAACTGAAGCCCAGTCCAATCCGTGGAAGAGCAGCAAGTGCTGTTAACCACTGAACCACATTTCCATCTTTCCTTTTTTGTTGTTTAGTTTTTTGAGACAGGGTCTCGTGTAGCCCTGCTGGCCTCAAGCTTCTATGTAGTCGAGGTTGACTTTGAACTCCTGATCCTCCTGCCTCCACCTTCTGAGTGCTGGGCTGACAGTCGCTAGGGACAAGAGACTCTGGTAAGGCTGCCTGCAAGATGGAATGCGGCTTTTGTGTCGTCACCCTGGAATAGGCTTTTTGAGTGATGTGGCTGCCCAAATCGCCCATGCCCCTGTAAGCAACCCCAGTAAACTCACTGGTTCACCAAACTGGACCTGGATGGAGTCTTTTCTTCGGCCTGCTGTTGGTGCCCTATCTGGGGTCTAGAAACATTTGTGCTTGTCTCCCCAGGAAAAATTCTGAGAATTGGAGAGAGGAGCTGACAAGATGGCTCAGTGGGCAGAAGGTGCCTGCTGCCAGGCCTGATGACCTGAGTTCAGTCCATGGACCCACATGATGAAAAGAGAGAACTGACTCATACAAGTTGTCCTCTGACCTCACAAGCATGCACACACACACACACACACACACACACACACACACACACCACACGAAGGAAGAAAAAGAAAGAAAGAAAAGAATTGGAGAGGAGAGAGGGGGGGAGAGAGAAGGAAGAAGGGAGAGAGAGAGCGAGCGAGAGAGAGAGAGAGAGAGAGAGAGAGAGAGAGAGAGCGCTCCCAGGCACCATTACTAACTCAGGAAAGGGGCGGCCTGTGAGAGGCCAGCTCTAGGGCTACAGGACTCACCATGGCTGGGTTCACTGGCCCTATGTCACTCAGGGGGGACACCAGGAGGACTGGAGAAGGCATCACTTCATAGATGTTACTGTCATCTGAAGCAGAGGATGAGGGGGGACCCCGCTGACATGGCACTCTCACGTGCCCACTGCCCCAGCTGTCCAGTTCACTCACTAAACCAACATTAGTTCAACTCCTCCTCCAGTAGTGTGCTGGGGATGCAGTGATGAGCCACACAGTCCAGGTTGTACCCTCCTGGGACTTGAAGTCCCCTAGGAGGAGACAGACCCATCCCCAGAGAGTGACAATCAAGAGGGTCTAAGGTGGAAGAAGGGAGAAGGGTTGACTATTGTCAGAGGACATCCTGGAGGAGGGGACATCAGAGTCAGTGAGAAGTGAGAGTTAGGCAGAGGTGGGAGGCGTACCTGCAGGGGCCTGGCTAGAGAGCCCACTGTGTCCGAGAAAATACTAATAGGTTTTGAGAAGAGGGGACTAGTTATACAGGAGGGATGAAGCTGGGGAGGACAGAGAGGATTGGTTTATGAATGGCTCTGAGATGCATGCTAAGGAGATCGAAATTTGTCCTGAGGCAACAGGAGCCATGGAGGGCTTATGAGCAGAGGAGATAGGATCCTGGAGGTTTGGGGTGGGTTAGTCCCCTCAGATCCTTTCCACTGAGTCTAAAAGGCCCCAGAGGGCTCTGGGTACAACTTAGGACTAGCAGGCCTTTGAGTGGGAGAGAGGAAGCCTGGGTGGAGAGACTCAGGCTTCCAGCTTACCAGCTCCAGGAGTGGGGCCCAGCACTGGCTTCTCTGTAGGCGTCCTGGGGGTGCATAGAACAAATCTCATTAAGAGAGTGTGATGCTGGGGTGGAGGGTGGTGACCCAGAGCATTGGAGACCATGCCTCCCTGGCTCCCTCCTGTGTGCTGGCTTGACCCCCCACCCCCAGATGGGAAAGAGTTGGAGGGGCATATACATAGAGGAGAGTGGAGGACAGAGAGAGAGAGGCTGGGGCCTGTACCTGGGGCTTGGGCCTTTCCAGCCTCTGGTGACCAGGAAGTAGGCAAAGCCTCCTATGAGCAGGAAACCTGCAGCCAGGGGCCCAATGATGGCGGCGGCCAGGATTGCAGCATTGACAGGTAGGTGCGCAGGCCCTGGGTCCTTGTCTGGGTCTAGGAGCAGAGGATTGAGTTACGGATGGTTGTTAGCCACCATGGGGGTGCTGGGAATCGAACTCGGGTCCTCTGTAAGAGCAGCCAGTGCTCTTAACCATTGAGCCATCTCTCTAACCCCTCCTTTCATTTTCTTATCTCTTGCTTCCTCCTCCTCCTTCTCCTCCTCCTCCTCCTCCTCCTCCTCCTCTTCCTCTTCTTCACCACCACCACCACCACCATCATCATCATCATCATCCAGTTATTTATTTTACATGCTAGGCCTTGTGGGCTAGGCAAGCCACACACCCCCAGCCCCACACTGGGGGATTCTAGGCAGGAGCTCAGCCACTGAGCCACGCCCCCACTGAGCTACCTCCCTAACTCCCGAAGATAGAGCACATGTCTAGAATTCCCCCAGCGAGGGGCTGGGGCCATGGCTCAGCAGTAGAGCACGTACCCAGCACATACAGGACCATGGATTCTGCCTCCCGTCCTGGGGGAGATGAGAAAGAAAAACCCCAGGGTTCCTGCTTTTGTCTTTCAGGACACTTGCTCCGCGGAGCCCATCCCTCAGCTTCTAGTCGCCATGAGATGACAAATGCCCACGCAGTCATACATGAGGACTCATGCGATGCCAGCGGAACCTGCCAGACACGCGAGCAGAGCTGCCTCTGGTGCAGCCTACAGCCTGTGCTTGCCTCAGCCTTCAGACGTGTCTCACTGAGGTTTCAGATATGGGCACACCAACCAGCTGTGGCTGTGTCCTTTTCCAGTCCCACCACGATGGATATGACTGCACTGCAATTGTTGGAAGTTCTGAACCTGCTCTAGGGCTACCAATAGCTGCACAGACCCCACATGGCATCCTCTCCCGGGCTTTTCTGTTGGTTGGTCTCTGAGACCAGTCACATTCCGTGCGGTTCACTGAGATCACTCGGGACCTCTGTGGACCATCAGACCAACATGTGCTCATCTCTGTTGCCGTTTGTTTTATATTTTATTTATTATTTTTATTTTATGTGTATGAGTGTATTGCCTGCATGTATGTAAGTGCACCTGTGTTGTGCAAAGCCCACGGAGGTCAGAAGAGGGCATTGGATTCTCCTGGAACTGGAGTTAAGGACAGTTGTTAGCTGCCATGTGGGTGCTGGGAATTGAACCTGGGTCCTCTGCAAGAGCAGTCAGTGTTCCTAACCGCTGAGCCATCTCTCCAGTCCGTTTGTTTTTTGAGACAGGGTCTCCCTGTAGCCCCAGCTGGCCTGGAACTCACTATGTAGTCCAAACTGGCCTCAAACTCAGAGCTCCACCTGCCTCTGCCTCTGCCTCTGCCTCCCAAGCACTGGGATTAAAAGCTCTATTTACCACCACACCTGGCACCTGTTTTGTGAAACATGATCTCATGCAACAACAGAATTGCAGTCAGACCTGGAACTCATTATGTTGCCCAGGCTGGCCCAGAACTCCCCATCCCCCTTATCAACCTCCCCAGTGCTAGGATGACAGGTGAGCTCCACCAGGTCACCTCCTTCAGCCAGGCCTCTCTGATGCCCCTCCCATGTCACCACAGCCCATTTAATTTTCAGAACTGAGCAAATCATAACTGTGCTGTACCTCAGGTTCTCCATGTGTGAGACGGAAACACAGCAACGGTGCCTGCCTCATGGGGTGCTGTAGGTTACAAATAGACACTATTGCATGGTCCTCACCCACAGGTGGCTATAGCCTTTGGGGGGGACATTTGTCAAAACCTGGCATAGTTTTTGGTTCTTGTGACTGGGAAGCTCTTAATTATCTATACTGAGTAGAGACCAGAGATGTCACAAAGCTTCTCTGAGACACAGAGTTCTACCCCAAGATATCAGCCAGTCCCAACTATTAGCATGCCCTAGGCAAAGTGTTAGGAATCATACCTGGCCCATAACAGGTTCCCAAGAAATGCTACATGTCACTGTTGTCCACCACTCTCTCCCTAATCCATTACCTGGGATGGCCACATCAATAAACATTTGTGAACAGGAAGACTGAGCACTGTAGTGCATACAGAAGGTGCTCGATATATGCTGAAAAAATGAATGAATGGGAGGAGCCACTGAAATGGGGCATCCCTTGGGGCCAGGGAGAAGGTGGATATTCGACAGATATTTTACTAGTTAACATGTGTGGAGATCAAAGGGTATGTCCAAGGTCTGGCACACAGTAGGTGTTCAATCAATGCACATTCAATGTATGAATGAAGTGGCCTGATGAAATGGTGTTTGCACAGGGCCCTTCCTTCCGCTGTGTCCTTACACTCACCAGACACCTGGACCTCAGTTTTGGCCCTCATTGTCCAGTCAGGGTTGACGGTGACCACCACTTGGTAGGTGCCACTGTCAGAAGACTGGATGCCTCGCAGCAGCATGGAGCCATTGGGGAAGCCAACCACGTCTCTCTGTCCCATGGCACTGCCGTCCCTCTGGGGCCGTGGTAGCCCGGGGATGTATGAGAACAGTCTGGTGCCTCCAGAGGTCTCCTCCCCCAGGTACCACATAAAGTCCTGGATGACATCAGGGACACCGTGGAGGGACAGGAGGAGTTCCTGGTTTTTCTGAGGCTGTTCTGGAATCTTCTGGATTCGGAGGGCTGCCTGGGAGCCTTGGGGAAGCCAGAGGGCCAGGATCAAGGCTGTGGGGAGGTACCAAGGAAGTTTGAGTGGGGGATGTTCTGGAAGGGATCATAAAGCCTCCTCTCTACAGAATCTCAACTGCAAGCAAGGAGTCTGAAGGCTCTGTATTGGAAATGGTGCTGGGATTGATTAGTGATGTCTGCCCTGGGTACAGGTGTGGGAAAATAGGCTTAGCAGCCACATATCTGCCATCCCATTGGCCCAGAAGATTTTTCCACTCTGAGATGCTGTGTGCTCCACTCAAACAGTTGGACTTTCTGAACTCATTCACTCATTTACTTATTGATTTATTCATTAAACCAATTTTTAAAAAAGTATATAATATACTATGGATGGAAAGCTGGCTCAGTGTTTAAGAGCACTGTCCACTTTTGCAGAGGACCTAGGTTCAGTTCCCAGTACCCATATGGTGGCTAACAACCATCTGTAACACAAGTTCCAGGGGATCTGACACCCTCTTCTGGCAGCCATGAACATTTCACATATGTGATGCACTTACATACATGCAGGCAAAACAGACACATAAAATAAAACCAATAAATAAAAGCAAAAAGGACATACTATAGGCCTCTGCCTTCTGAGTGCTGGGATTTAAAGGTGTGTGCCACTGGGCCTGGACTAGGCCTGGCGGCAGTACTGGTCTTCAACTTGCAATCCTCCTGCCTCAACTTCCAAAGTACTGCAGTAACAGGTGTGCACCACCCTGCCTGGACTTTCCCTAGCTTTTTGTTTTCCATTTGAGACAAAGTCCCCATTATCCCAGACTGGCCCTGAACTGTCTATGTAGTGGAGGATGGCCTTCTGCCTCCCAAGTGCTGGGGTGATAGGTGCGCACTCATCCCTGGTCCCTTCCCTCCTTCCTTCCTCCCAGAATACAGCTGAGAACCAAACACAGATAAATTCCCACCCTCAACCAAGGTTCTGACATTCTAGAAAACTCCATGGATGAAATAGGAACAAAAATATGATTCTGTTATCCTGCCCCATCATTCTCTAATATTATGCTGAGACCTCAGTCTCCAGGTTAAGTCCCATCTTGACCCCTCAGCCCTCAGAGCCTGCTTTCTCCTTACCCAACAACAGGAAGCCCTTTGAGGAGCAGCCCTGGGTCCTGGTGGGAATCTCCATCTTGGCCCCTGGGCAGGTGTCAGAGGTTCTGAGAGGGCAGAGTCCAGGTGGTGGTCTGAGGTGTGAAGTTCTGTGTGCGTGGGGGGTCCCAGCCTCAGGACACAGCGAGGTTGCCTAGCTCCAGCATCCCCTTCCACAACCCTAGCCTCTCTGCAAGGCTCCACCTGTGCCCTGAGATGAAAGCACCAACACTGGTTGGACCAGTCCTCCAGGGTGACTGGCAACTTCCCCACCTCCTCTCCAGGCCCTCCAACCTCTTCCTGTTCAGCAGCAATAATTACAGCCACCACAGACTGGTTGAGCAATTCCCACTGGTAGGTGGGACATACACCACGGTCCCCCCTGACAGAGGGGGAAACTGAGGCTCGGAGAGATGGGTGTGTCACGGGGAGTAGAGGAGGCATTTTATCTGTGGCTGGTTCACTCTGCTTAATTTTTCTTCTTTCTTTTTAACATGTATTTATTAGGTGTGTGTGTGTGTGTGTGTGTGTGTGTGCACATATTCTCTGTTTCTCCTTGCATCAAGTGGGTCTCAGGGATCGAACTCAGGTCATCAGGCTTGGCAGCAAGCCCCTTCACCCTCTGAGCCATCTCGCTGGCCTATGCTTTAGCCTTTTCAAAAGCATTCATTCATTCACTCACACCAGCGTCCACTTCCCGTGCCCAGCCTAGGGAGGACTGAGATTGGTCCTCCCACCCGTCAGTCCTCTGTGGGTCCCAGTGCCCTTGTGGTACCATCTCCAGACAAGGTTGTGATCATGGTAGAAATGGAGAAGTGAAGTGGGAGCAGGGGGAGCCCCAAGAGATGGCTCTCCTAGCCTGAAAAGCAGGGAGGGCTCCCAGGAGGAGGGGATGTCTCTACTGAGAATCAGGACAGAAACGAGGTGGATGATGGGCAAGCCCGGGCGGGGAACCCGAGGCTGCCCAGCACTTACAAGCTGGCTGAGCTGGCATCCAGGAGCATCATGGGAACTGAGAAATCTGGGTCAGTGAGGATGACTGGGAAGGACTGAGTGAGGGTGTGAGGCTGGGAGGTGGGCGGGGCCAATTCTGCTGGGTTTTGAGCTCTGTCAGGACAGAGCATGGGGTGGAGGGTCGAGGTGGGGTGTTGATATTGACAGCATTAGCTACATTGCTGTTCACATGAAAATAGAAATAACTACAAAATGTTTAAGCGGGAGTGGAAGGAGGATGAGCTGTTAATAGGTGATGAATAGAGCCAAAATACATTGCAGGGCCAGCGAGATGGCTTAGCAGGTAAAGGTGCTTGCTGCCAAGGCATGAACACACACACACACACACACACACACACAGAGCAATTTATGTTTTATTGAATATACTTAATATATGACATACTTTCATTTTTATTTATTTATTATTATTTTATGTGTATGAGTATATTGCCTGCCTATATGTAAGTGTACCCATGTCATGCAACGCCTGTGGAGGTCAGAAGAGAGCGTTGGTGTTAGGGATGATTGTTAGCCGCCATGTGGGTTCTGGGAATCAAACCTGGGTCTTCTGCAAAAGCAGCCAGTGCTCTTAACTGTTGAGCCATCTCTCCAGTTCCTGACAATTGTGTTTTAGATTATAATATAGTCTATTAACATATAATATATACTAAAGCATACATAAAATATTTGCATTTAAAGGATACCACAATCACTGATATATTTAATTCTTTTTTTTCCTTTTAAAAAACTTTATTGAGAATTTCATACATGCATATAAGGTGTTTTGATCAAATCCACGCCCACTCCCTCCCCTCCAACACCTCCCATATATTTCTGTCTTAGTTTGTTCTTCATTGCTGTGACAAAATACTCTGACCAACTTGGGGAGGAAAGGGTTTATTCAGCTTACGTCTCCCAGGTCACAGTTCATCAGGGAGCCCAAGGTAGGAACTCAGGGCAGGAACCTGGAGGCAGGAGCTGGAGCACAGGCCATGGAGGAACACTGCTTACTGGCTTGCTCCCTGGCCCCTGCTCAGCCTGCTTTCTTATGCAACACAGGCCCACCTGCCCAGGGGTGGCACCGCTCACAGTGGGCTTGGCCCTCCCACATCACTCATCAAGAAGATGCCCCTCAGACATGGCCACAGACCAGTCCAATAGAGGCAATTCCCCGATTGAGGCTCCCTCAACCCAGGTGTGTCATGTTGACACTAAAGCTGTCCAGCACACTCCCCATCACTTTTTTCTATAACCTTGTTTTCTAGTCTTCACCAGTTAAACTCATGGGACTTTTTGCATTGGCCCCTCTGAAGAAGTAACCCTAAAATATTTTAAGGATAAGGTAAGAGCTCTCAAATACTGTTGACAATTTTGGCCTTTGGAACAGAGTTTGTTGCTAAGATGCACAGGGACATTTTGACTTTTAGCCAAGAAACTGGTTACTTTTCTTTGGAGTCTTTTTACCTTAACTGCCTAGCCAGTTCCTACCTCCTGTTCTTATACCATCCTCTGAAGAGGTGACCCAACTTGTGGGTAGGGAATCGGGATGCAGACTGCTCTGGCTTCTTCCGTGCTGAACAGGGATGCAGGGTGAAGCAATTGGAGACCCCTTCAGTGGGTCTATCTAAAAGATTCCCAAATTGCATAACTCTTATCTGTAGGGAGAGAAGAAGGCCCTTGACTGGTGAATAGGAGATGTGAAGGAGAAGTAAAGGCAAGAGTAGTTAGCATTACAAGTTCTAGGCAGGGAACTAGAAAAAGTCAGAACAGGGAAAATTTCAAATGTTCATATCAGAGTCCATTGAGATTTCTTGACGAGAGGATATATTTAATTCTTTAGAAGTTAGACAGATAGCCAGAGAGCATGGTGGTGCCAGTCCCAGCACTTAGGAGTTGGGGGCAGGAGGATCAAGCCAAGGTCATTCTTGGCTATACAGCAAGTTGGAGGTCAGCCTGGGCTACATGAGACCTTGTCTCAAAAATAAAACAAAACCAAATGAAGTTATCCAGATACCATGGTGTATGTGCATATATGCGTGCTTGATTTGGGATTGAACCTACGGCTCATGTATGCTGGGCAACGCTCTACCACTGAGCCACACCCCAGCCCCTCACTGGGGGATTCTAGGCAGGTGCTCTACCACTGAGCCACACCCCAGCCCCTCACTGGGGGATTCTAGGCAGGTGCTCTACCACTGAGCCACACCCCAGCCCCTCACTGGGGGATTCTAGGCAGCTGCTCTACCACTGAGCCACATCCCAGCCCCTCACTGGGGGATTCTCAGCAGGTGCTCTACCATTGAGGTATATCCCCAGCTCTCTTTTTACTTTTTATTTTCAGATGAGGTCCTCACAGAGTTGCCCAGGCTGCCTTGAACTCACTCTATAGCCCAAGTAGGTATTGAACTTAAGACCCTCCCCTTGCAGCCTCCCAAGTAGCTAAGATGACAGGTTTGGCTTAGATACTGTTTTCCTTTTTTTCCCCTATTTATTTATTTAACTTATTTGTTATTTATTTATTTTGAGGAAAGGTCTCCTCAGGTGACCTGGAACCCTCTAGGCCAGGTTGGCCTTAATCTAACAGAGATCCTCCTGCCTCTGCCTCTCAAGTGCTGGGTTAATGTGGTGCGTCACCACACCTGACTAGATACTGCTTTTCTACATGTTCGAAATGGGAGTGAAAGTTTACTCCTTTCACCAAAGGCGAAGCTGAAGCTGAGCTTTGTGCTTTAATGAACAGGAATGGTGATGCAGACAGAGGATTTCCTTGAAATGACAGCTGTGATTACGGACAATGGTAATTTCTGTGTATGTGTGCGTGAGTATGTGGGTGTGTGTGTATGTGAAGGCCAGAGATCAATGTTAGGTGTCATCCTGTCTCTCCCCACCTTATTTTTGAGACAGGGTCTGTCACTGGCCTGGTTTTTACTCACAGCTGGATGGGCTTATCCATGAGCCCCCGGGGGGGCCCCCTTCTCCGTCTCACCAGGATTACATACGTGTGCCCTGCACCTGGCTTTTTTATGTGTGTGCCTTTGGGTGCTGGAAATCTAAAGCCAGACCCTCATGTCTGTGTGGTGAGCAACCTCCACAGCCCCAATCCTTTTTCAAAAAGATTTACTTTTGCTTACGATTTTACTAATTATTATTGACATTATGTTGAGACAGGGTCTCCCTGTAGCCCCAGCTAGCTGCCTAGAACTTGCTAAGTAGACCAGGCTAGCCTCAAACTCACAGAAATCTTTCTGCCTCTGCCTTCCAAGTGCTGGGATTAAAGGCATGGCCACCACACCCTGCTAGATTTTTAAATCATTATTTATTTCTGTGTAAGTGTGTGCCAGTATGAATGTATGCCGTGTGATTGCAGCTACTCATGGAGGTCAGTGGAGGACATCAGGTCCCCTGGAGCTGGAGTTACAACTAGTTTATAATGGCTCGATGTTGGTGCTGGGAACCATCCCTGGGTCTTCCGCAAGAGCAACCTCTGCTCTTTTTCTTTTAAATTTTATTACTATTTTTTATGTGTGTGTTTTGCCTGCATCTATATAAGTGCACCGGTTTTGTGAAATGCCTATGGAGGTCAGAAGAGGGTGTCAGATTTCCCTGGACCTAGAGTTACAGACGATTGTTAGTTGCCATGTGGGTGCTGGGAACTGAACCCAGGTCTTCTGCAAGAGCTGTAAGTGCTCTTAACCTCTGAGCCATCTCTCCAGCCCCAGGACCACTACTCTTGATTGCTGAACCATCTCTCCAGCCCCCCTAAATTTTTTAAAATTACATTTATTTATTTGGTCTTTTTGAGACAGGATCTCCCTGTGGCCCCAGGTAGCCTGGAACTCACTATGTAGACCAGGCTGGCCTTGAACTCACAGAGATCCGCCTGCCTCTGCCTCCCCAGTGCTGGGATTAAAGGCATGTGCCACCCCACCCCCCTTTGTTTCGTTTTGTTTTGAGACAGGATCTTTTTTTTTTTTTTTAATGTGTATGCGAGTATTGCCTGCATGTAGGTAAGTGCATGGTGTCCTGCAATGCAGGTGTAGATCAGAA